AAGTAGACAGGGAGTTGGGGTAACCGGTAGAAAAAGAAGCCATAGTTCTTCGTCTTCATCTGCATCTTCATCCCCATCGAGAGGTATATTAGAAATATTGCATATTAAATTAAATCATATATGTATTTACATATATATCTATATGTAGAACATAAAAGAGTACTATTAGTATTATTTTCTACTAGTGGTAGTAGTAGTGGTACTGATACTGATGACGGTTCAGAAAGCAGTTCTGATAATGAAATATGGAAAGTATTTTGGGCATGTATTTGTTGTTATTAGTACAAACATAGCTTTGCATAAAATTTTGCACAAAGCTATATTTGTATAATAACAGTTAATTGATTTTTTGTTTTTGCAAATATATTAATTTTTATTTTATTTATATATATATTTATAATAGAGAGATGTTTTATTCACTGTGGAAAATCTAAGTGAACAAGACCAGCCAGATCCAAAAAAAAAATGGAAAGAAATTAGAGAACAGTTTCTTTCTGGTCCTTTTCTTACCATAAAGCGTGATGTCGCAAGATATTATGCTTATAACTGCCAAATACTTCAGCCGATTTGGCAATTCTATCACCATCAACACGAAATATATTTGGAGAAATTGGATAAGAAAAGAAATGAACACGCAAAAAAAAGGAGAAGGTTGAATACTTGGGTATCTATGGTATATTATCAATTTCTTTTAATTTTATTTGATAATATAGAGTTATTATTAATATCAGCTCTATTTTATATTTATTTATTTATTTATTTTATTATTTCTATATTTTAAATTTATTTTTTTCATTTTATTTTATTACTCTTGCTAATATCAGCATTATTTATTTATTTTATTACTCTTGTCAATATCGGCATTATTTATTTATTTTATTATTTTTATGTTTTAAATTATTTTTTTTATTCTTATTAATATCGGCATTATTAATTTTATTTTATATATTTTATTATATTTTATTATATTTTAATTTATTTTAATTTATTTATTTTATTTTATTTTATTTAATTTAATTTATTTTTTTTCTTATTTTATTCTTATTTTTTTTTAATTTAGAAAATGCAAAGATGCCAGAAAGGTTTTAATCACTTTGTAAAGACAAAGAGCTGCTTTCTAGTTAATAATCTGCCCCAAAGCATGTCTAAAAAGCTTGCTATCACAGATATCAGAAATATTTTAAATGATCGGAGGTACCATAGTGAAGAGGTTTCAGAAACTGATATTGAGAAAGCAGAAAGAGAAAGAGAGGATGGGGTTCAACAGAAGAGTGACAAGAATAACTGAGTAATCAAGATGTTAGATAAAAACTGGCATTCTCCTGAGGTAAGATTTATATTTATATTAGTATATATTATTAACTTATCTATATTTAAATAGCATGCTAAGAAGAGATGCTTTGGGGCTTTTAATTTTATCATTACTGAAAACCTGATAGTGATATATATGTGAATACCACCAAAGGAAAACCTGTCATCAGGTTTTTAATTATATCTTGTACCAGACACAATTTATTTAATTATTGAAAACTCGATGACAGGTTTTCCTTTAGTGGCACCCATATATTTTGCTGATATGCTAAATAGTGTCTCTTTTTTTTTTTGGCAACATACTTGTTTTTTTTTTTTTTTTTTTTTTTTCTTATCATACTTAAATACTTGCACTTTTTAGCTTAAGGAAATTTTATAGTCAGTGGAAAGGGTAGTTGCCACAAGAAGCACCAAAGACACTAACCGATTCTATTGGAGAAATGCTCCTTTTTTGGTAAATCAAATCTCTATATCACCACCCAATGCACTGGCCTGGTTTATCTCCGATAAATACGTTACTGAAAATAATGAAAACGATCTCTCATTAAGACCTGATAGCGATACCGAAGTGATAGCTGATAGCAATGCTGAAACAACAGCCAATAGTGACTACAAGCCTGTCACTGAGACAAGCAACAATCTACTTAAAAAATATAGAACAAGAAACAAGGGCAAAAAAACCAACATATGGTTGGATGTTGTTTGTTCATCCCAAGGTATAGAAATTTGTATAGTCTTATTGGTTTAAATAACTACTAATAGTAATTCTGAATTTGGTAAAAAAAAAAGTTGCTCAACT